CACACCCACACCCGCACCCACACCCACACCCACACCCACACCCACACACCCACACCCACACCCACACCCACACCCAAAAGGCCTTCATTATATATATGTGTTCGAAATTTCAGTCTTCTGCGTTAAGCAGAAGTGTGAAAACTATCATTCACAATTTATCATCAGTCATTGCAGAACGCCCCGTAGCATTGAAACAATTCGCGAAGAGTTTTCATCTCGTCTTCTTCGTTTCTTTCGATTTCTCGATGATACTTTCATCGTTCTTGTTTCAAATGGCATGTCAATTATAAAATGAATTATAAAATTTACTACGGAATATTAATCCTAATTTAAAATATACATTTGAAGCAAGGAAATCAAATATACATTATTAGGATGCGAAGACTGTTAGTAAGCGTGAGATCTAGATGTGGTATTTGGATCTTCTCTTCAATTACAAAAAACCGATAATCTGCCGAAAATTTTGGAAAATAATGTTGAAACGCCAAATAACTTATCATATTTTATCAAGATCAATGCATCTTATCTGCAAAAGGTGAACAGAACTAGCCCTGTGAACGAGTACTTATTGTATTCTGTTACCTAAAAATTGATAAATTCGAAACTAATGAATGAAACAAATACACTATAACAACGTCTATTGTTATGTATATGCAAAGGATGCTCATCAGAAGTCAGATTGTATATAAGTTGGATAATCAGACAAAAGTGAAAAAGTAAACTATCGGCTGGAATAAATATGCTCACTTCTAATTAAAAAGATGGTAGAGGTCGACACTAATTGAATTAATCAGACCATGTTTGACTCAATTGGATAATTTTATTCGCTTTTAATCTGTGCAGTAGATTACACTTTCTCATTTTGTTATTATTAACATGATCAGTCAAGCAAAACTGTATAACTAACGTAATCAACACGCACATATCAATACATGTGACAAAAAAAAAACAATAGCTAACTATCAAAAAAGAACAAAGTTGCGTTTTACTAAAACATCAACAACAGAAATAAGAATATGAATCCAGAATATTGGCACCTGTGTCAGGAATACCCTCGTGAGTCGAACTTAGAATATTAAAATAAGAAATGCACTGTATAATGCATTTTTTTTCTCAGCTCCAGGAGTAATAATCGAAACAGGTAATAATAGACCTATTCGTCATCATTATCGATCTCACCATCATCATCATCATAGTGGACAACCCGTTAATATAGCATATGGTGCTGAGATATTAACAAGTAATACCGGTTTTCAAACCCGTGGAGCTGATATTGGCTATGAGTTATATCAACAACAATTGCCGAGCGGTGTAACATATTTACACCAAGGACATGTAGTATCGCCTCAAATGATGATGATGCCAACGTTTCAGGAGCAAGTTTATGTTCAGTCGGGGTTTCCACTATTAATAGAAGAAAAATAAATTTTTTTTCTAGATTGCCACATTCAGTCCTAAAAGCACGAGCCATCATGACGGCGAACGATATCCTTGCCGCTGGTGCTACCAGCAAAGAAACTTCCGCTGAAGGGTCTACAACTGATGCAAAAAAGGTCTGTTTCGTATCGAAAGAAAAGGTTTAAAATTCGTTCTTCAATAATAGCCCGTCTATGGACTAATCAATTTTGAAGAAACGTCGAAAGGCGTCCACATTACAGGCCATATTGATGGTTTAGAACCTGGAACTTCGCACGGGTTTCATATTCACGAGTTTGGTGATGTGAGTTTGGTAAGGATTGAATTTTTGTGTTGAGTCATGGTTTAAATAAAATAAGTTTACTTGACAGGGTTGCACAACTGCTGGGGCACATTTTAATCCGTTCAAACGTGCTCATGGTGGTCCAAATGATATTGAAAGGTTTCTAATTTTGTTTTGTATTCGAATAATCAAAGGTTTTTTCTTCTGGTAGACATGTGGGCGATTTGGGAAATGTAACAGCAGATGCCAATGGCGTAGTTAATCTCAACATAATCGATCCAATGGTTTCTCTTTACGGTGACCGTTCGATTGTTGGACGTGCTATTGTTATTCATGCGATGCCTGATGATTTGGGTCGTGGAGGAAATGAGGAGTCGTTGAAGACGGGAAATGCAGGTGCGAGACTTGCTTGTGGTATTATCGGATTTACAAAATCGTAAATGATAGGGAGAACAAATGAACGATACTTTTTTCCCTAAAAACTTTTGTAACCAAGCATAACACTATATCCCTCCATTAGTTTGAAAAATACTTAGAGCATACCAAAAGTAGTGGCATTATCATCTTATTTCTTTAGTAGAAAGCTTGATTAAATTTTTGTTTTTTATGTAGTGATAGAGAAAACAAGCCTCTACTTTTCTCTCCCATTTGATCACTTTTCAAATAAAATTACAAGTAACGCTCGTCAGCATGACTCGCTTCACCCTCGACTGAAGGATTAGTTGCAATCTAACTTTATCTTTTGTGTGGCTATGGGCATGAAAGTCTTCTTTACACTAATACTGACACCCACATCGACACCCACACTCGCATTCACACCCCATACCCACACACAAAATCCAGCGATACTCACAGCCATTCAACAAAAATTAAAAGAACTACATTATGCCACCGAAATCTGTAAAACTTTCCGAGAAAGCAGTCTATAGTCTGCTTTCTCAGAGACAATGACTCAAAACACATTCACAACAATCTTGTAAAAGTGTTTCATACTCTTTAAAATTTGTACTAAAAAATCCATTGCCTTACTCAAACATCAGCTAACAATATTGTTTTATACAGCGTTTCCTAAAGACATACAGGTTTAGTTGAGTCTTTAGCTTAAAGCCAACCATATTAAATCTGATCTGTAATCCAACTACCATACTTGAAAGAAGCTCCTATTTAAAGTAGCTGTTAGACGAGATAGATAATTCGAACATATCCCCATACCGACCAACACTCGAATGAGTACATATAAGAAAACATTCCATTTGCAAATCCTTTTTATCTCATTTAAGTCTCATTTCAATAAGATAAATATAAAGTTTTCAAGTAATCTTTTCAGTCGAATTCACTATAACTATACTTTTACATGTGAAAAAAGGTGTAACTACGGTTTGTCTTCAAACATTTTCTCAGTCCTTAGCAACGGTTGCTCCATAGTCGAATCCAGTCGATATAGAATGTCGATGCTCATTGGATCTCTCTCAATAGTTTGAAGCCTTTCGTGAAAGAACCGTCTAGGGCAGCGGCTAGTCGTTCGTCCGCGCCCCTTCGGGGCGCCACTTACGGCTAGCCGCTGCTATTTTTCGTTCTACTTCTTCACAACACAATTCTTCTATATTTAAACTTCCAACAAACTCGCACTCCGCTTTCTTCGAAAAATTAGTAGATACAGTATTCATTTTTTTCCAGAGGTCAGGTAACAAAAGACGTTTAGAACAGTGCTACCGAAATGATGAATAGAGTTGGAAAATTCTTCTAGAGATTTGTGTACTTTCCAGAACATTCAATGACAATGCTGTTTGCTATAGAGTTCTGCAGGAAGGTAGAAGCTAAATCAACCTCTAGCTGAAAATAAATCATGTTGTATCTGCTCATAAAGCGAAATATCATACATACAACAAGCTCTTCCTCAAAGCAGCAATAAGACTAGACAAGTAACTTTAATATATATGTATAAATTCAGATCCTTGAATTAATACAAAGAAAAGAATATTATGAAAGAAACATTCTTATATTTTATACATGACCACTGCGGATACGGCAAATATAAAGTCTTTAAATCGTGTTTTTCGTCTAACGACCTATTGAGCTATTGTGTTCAAACACAAAAATCATTCCTCATTCTTGACTTCACATATTTATGCGTCCGAGATTCCTTCCTCAAACCTATTAGACCTCTATCGTTGGTGTTTATTAAATAAAACTCAAAACTTTGAAACGGCACTTCTAGAGATAACCTACTGCAGCAGCTAGTCGCTCGTCGGCGCCCCTCCGGGGCGCCACTCGCGGCTAGCTGCTTCCAAATACAATCCCATCTTTACATAACATCATCCCTCCTTGTTTCCAATTTGTTCAGGATTAATTTATTTCAAAAATTCATTGCATCTAACACATTAAATTTAGTAGCAATAATTTTCGAACAGGACTTTTCTCATGAAATATTTCTGATTTCCTCAAACTGACTGTACAGTAGGAAAATCAGACTTTTCTATGAGTTCCTCTTTTGGAAAGTCTTACTGCACTATTTTGCAAATGTATAGCTGATACACAGATCTTTTATGGCGTCAGTCTGCAGTATGCTTGCTATGTGAACGATTAGTAGTGTGTTGGTGCCTCTTTGGAGCAGCAGCCACCACTAAGTGCTCCTTTATATAAATGCATTTGAACGACAGGTCCTTGTCATCCCCTTTATGCGACAGCTAGGACATCATTTACATATATATTTTCAAAATGACTTTCTTCAAATAACAGAAGCTAGACATTGCACATATCGAAATTCCTGGAAAAATGAAAGGTTTTAAAGTATCATTTTTGCATAATAGTAATAATAGCATATGACATGTTAATGCCAGGTATTATCATTAGACCCACGCCTATTCATGCATATATTTTCTCAACCAACACATTTACATACATGACAGATACTCTTTTATAAATGTCAAGCAGGACTAATTTTAAAAGGGTATTCGCTTGTATCCCTGCAATTAGTTGATAAATAGCCAAAAACGATTTCATAGTAACAACAAATAAGTTACTTAATCGATAAATATTTTCACGAGATCAAAAAAGTCACACGATTTTCCATTATCATCTTCTTTTTCACACATTCACTCAAAAACGATATCGACACACACGGTTTCAACCGATCATCTTGTAAATGAAATACACTTTTCAAATCCAAAAGAACGCATACCAACAGTAAAACTCAATCGTTTTCATTCAAGGTCTTTTCTGATTGAATTAATAGAATTGTTTTAACTATGTTTTCTATCTATAAAATGTCCCGACATTCTATCCTTCCAAAAAATCTGCCGTATGATACATAAAAACATATTTCTCCTCTTTCATCACTTTGAGTCACCATTAAAACCGGTTATTTCCAACCCTGTTCGCAAGATTCCGTTGAATCTTTATAATGTAAGTCCTTCATAAAGTAAGCTGGAAAAACTGTTAAATTCATAACACGATGACTCCGAACTAGCTACACAGAACCAACACTTATTATTTATTCTAAATTTCTTCAACCTCATTGTTTAGCCAACACATTAAAGTTTTATTAGGGCACTGCATTCAGCAAATCTTAGTTGATTATACTTGATAAATCCAGGTTTCACAAAAAGCTTTTCTAAAACAACATAGTACTACGTTTACAATAGTACCAACAAATCACTTACCAATATCTCTCTCCGATACTACTGATAGCCACTTGCTGCATTGGCTTTTTACATTAAAACAATCATTAGTTAACTTACATTTACTTCACAGGCTGAAAATTTACACACAAGGTTATATTCATGTTGGCTCTTTTCCCTTAAGCAAAAAAAGTACAAAAAACTGCTACTTAACGTAGAAAGCACTTTAAATGTATCTAATTCACTCAATGTCGTTCACCTCAAACTGAATGCGAATAGTGTATCAACGTTGTTTTATCACACAACCTCTTAATGAAATACTCACCTCCTTAGTCAAGACTTCAACTTAAACCTTCCAAGATCCTGTGAAATTTGTACCCAAAGTGAACACCAACCAAGCATTATAGACACTCAAAACCACTTTCTGAATATTGAGTACACCTTCTTTCAAGTTATTTTTTTTCTCAAAACTGTGTTAGCGTTAGTGATGGATCACACTAACTCTAAGCGATGATTTTGATGCGCATTCTAGTTCAAATGGCTTAGGACACCTCTCCAGATAGCAGCAGGTATGGGTTCGATTCCCATGAAGGTTATCTTTTTCATCGTTCTGTGACATGAAATCTGTGACACTCCTTGTCTTTCTCCCATTCTACATATATACAGCTAACCA